CTGGGGATGTGGGGTTCATCCTCCACTCGCCCACTTAATGAGAGAGGGTTGTGCCTAGCAGCAAAGAAGGCAGTCCTGCAGAGAAGACATCGACAGTCCAGAGGAAGAAGTCACAAAACTAGGAGCTGATAGGTCTTGCAGGTATAGAAAGGAAGAAATGGGCAAGAACTCAGTACGTGATAATTGTGTAAAAGACAGATCTGGAAGAAATTTTAAATGAGGAAAGAGTACAAAAGGATTAGAGAGAGGTCTAAGGTCTGGAAGAAGTCTCAGGATCCTGAGGTGGGCCATCCTATAAAACTGCCATAGAGGGGTGGGTCAATCCATGTTGTGAAAATCATGTAACAGTACCTAACACTCAGTCGGTACTCAATAAAAGATAGCTACAAATAATGATGCCAAAATGGTTCACTCAAGACTTCTTTTCCTATATCCTATTTCATCTTCCTTTTATCCTTGTGAACTACTGGAGTGGATAACACAAAGGAAGATAAACACTAAACATAATTTTGGGATAGACAGAGAGTAATACTGATCAGTTACCTAAAAGCCTTTACACTTACTAGTAACGATACAGTTTTATGACAACGGGTCATTGCTACATTATATTAATATCAATTATTACTTTTTCCAAAGCAGTTAGTCTTCATGGAGATACAGGCATCTCAGAAGTTAGGGAACAGTGACTGGTTGCAGAGGGGGTTTCCTAAGAAAAAGTGGATAAGAGGGTTCACAGGTTTGGGAAAGGTGTTTGGCTGGGAGCTGCCACCGGCTAAAAAGCATCATCTGTGTGGCAGGTGAAGACGGCTACAAAAGGACAGACAAGTAACTATTATAAGATTGAAAAGACTATAATTTTTTAAATTATATAATTATATTAATCTATATTTTGAATGGAATAAGCTACCACATGAAAGACATTCATTGGGAAACTCCACCCAATGTCTTACCATGGTATTTCCAATCCTCTCCTCTAGTCAACACTCGCACGCCCTACTCATTGAAAGAATAGCAAGAATGTCAAAGGAAACACAGTATTTGACAATAAGAAGAAGTGAGATAAGAGAATAAAGTCCTAATGAGAACAAAAAGAGAGTAACCACCAATGGGCTACTTTCCTCAGGAACTGGGTCCACACCGAATACTTTCTGCCTTCTTCTCCACACCCTCTCTGTGCCCCCCAGACACCCCCCATGCCCACATGGTCTGCTGATGGGTTTGTTTCTGCCAGGATCCAGTCCAGGCCCAGTTAGGGAAACAGAAACCACACGAAGTATTAAATATTTCAAGAGAAATCACATCAAAAATTGCTCAACAGATGTTGGAGAACTAAAAAAGCAAAAAGAGAACAAAACATGAGGTCACAGAGATGGCACTGCAGGAAACACTACCCCCAAGGCTGAAGGAACAAAGCGAAGAGGGGAGTCCTCAGAGCCTGGACGCTTAAAGCAGCCCTGGGGCTCACGCGTCTGAGGAGGTGGCACTGCCTGGCTGAAGCTGCGGCCTCGGAGGGACGGATGAGGCAAGCTCTGAAAGTGAGCCTGGAACCAAGAGCCACCATGTTGTGGGGGGAAGAGCCACTGCCGAGGTGGGGCTTGCAGAAACAGGAGGTCAACAGGAAGGAGTGATCCCTCGCCCTCCTCCAGCCCTGCAGCCTCCCTGACCACCCTCTGTTGGCAGAACCTAACAGGGAACTGGCTGGCAAAGAAGAAACATGGTTTGCGGAGTCCCAGTGTCAGAAAGCAGAGAATGAAAGGGGTGTGTGGCGCTGAGACAGTAGGTTGGCACCGCATACACTAGAAACGTGGAAAGAGAAATCCATCTCACAGTTAGGTCTGTATCTCCCATCTCAACTCACAGTATGCTAATTTGTCTCAAAAGACTGCAAATAAGGACAAAAGAAGGGGCCAACTAATCCAAAGGCAGTCTGAGTTCAATCAGAGCCATGCTTACCAGGACATTTGCTTACACCTTGGAGAAGCATTCTAAGAGATTACTGTCAGTGTCCTAACTGTTTTACCTATGAAAAATGGGCTCCTTGGAAGCCATGTGCAGGCTTGCTTAAAACAATAAGCTTTTCTAACCCCCCAAGCACAACATACTCCGGGAGCATGGTCTGGATGCTTATCAAACAAGTTCCCGGGCTGTTCTCTGAAGTTTCTGGGCAAGTACAAACAACAGAGGCAAATAAATGCCTTTAAAAGCAAGGCAGTGGAGCACGTACCCTGTCAGTGAGAGCCTCGTATTCCCACAGAGTAAACAGTAACATGAGAATATTTATACGAAACAAAACTGTGTATCAAGCCTGCTTTGGCTCAGCCAGAGGGAATGATAAATTCCTTGCAGATCTCTCATAGAGTGGTCCTTTGTTGACCACGGACGCCACTTCCAAGACAGTACAAACCAATTACAGAGCAAGGCTTTTCATTATGTCAAGGAATGAAAATATTACCCCCCATTTTGTTTTATTTCACAGTTATATTTTACTTACCCCACCCCCCCCTTATGTTTAAATAGTTTTAATTTATCGTGAGTCAAGCCCAAATTGAGGTTGGAAACAAATGACAACTCCCCACTGCGCCCCCACACACAAAACCTTATCACCCTCATAGCCCAGCTTGTTGCTTTCCTTATCCCTCTTTTAAGAAACTAAAAGTTGAAGTTTAAAGTTGGGTAGAATGAAAACACAAAAAAGACGATTAAAAAGTAAATTCTGTTTGTCCACATTGATTTTGGCCTGTTGACAACCAGCGTAAGTCATGGTCAATGTCAACTGGCAGGAGATGGAGGTTAAATGAGCTATGAAGCCACATTCCATACAATGTCCACTTTGTGGTAAGATTAAAAAAAAATACTGAACAAACATTTGCACAAACTGTGGGTCTGCTCCTAACAGGCCAATCTGAGAAAAGGTCAATATGAGTCAGGGTGTTTGTCAGATTTTTCTCAAAGCAATGGGATAACCGTTCTTAGTTATTATAGATCCACCCCGGCCACTTCTGCCACCTCATGCCTAGAAAGAGCTGATGGCAACACATCCATCTACCAGAAACCCTCAGCAGTTTACAGCTGGTTCTGATTTTCTAAAGAACCATGATGGAGCAAGGAAGAAGGGGAACAGAGAAAGACAATAGAAAGAAAAGCGGAATTAGAATATGAATGAGAGGTAATAAGTGTGATTGTGCTGGTTTTGAAAATTATTTATTTATAATAAAAATAGTAAATTATTGTTTTTAAATAGATAGCTGGATCAAAGGCTAAATTTAATCAACTCTATTTTAAACCACTAACTAAACCATATGTAGCACCAGAATCCATTATAATAGATTTAAAAAGGGTAAAACAGGTCTTATATATTTGTATACATTAATGGAGATTAGAAATTTGCCAACATTTTATTTAGAACATACAGACTTAGTAAAATTATCTCATTCAGATGTTTGTTTTTTACTTAACTTTTGTGGAACAAATATATACTTTTGTTCTTTTTTAATTGTGGTAAAATATACATAACATAAAAGTTACCATTTTAACCATTTTTAAGTGTATAATTCAGTGGCATTAAGTACATTCACCTTGTTGTGCAACCATCACCAGTATCATCTCCAGGACATTTTTCATTTTCCAAAACTGAAACACTGTACCCATTAAGTAGATGTTTGGATTTCAATCAGCCTTGCTCAAGGCCAGCAGTCTGGAATGCAGTGACAGGAACCTGGAGAAGCTGATTCAGGTAGCTGGCAAATGAATCAACCCCTCCCACAACCCAAAATGAATCAGTGGTATCATGCGCTTTTACCCACTCTCATCTGTTTAACACTGATGCCCACCACTGAAGTAAAGCTCTAGAATAGATCTGAAAAGACTATTAACATGTTTCATTTTTATATTACAGCTTACAGACATTTATTTTCCCCAAAATACAGCCCTCAGTCAAGGTAGGAATTATTTCCCCTATATTACAGATAATGGAACTACTGCTACATGAAAGGTAAAAGCAAGGACCAGAACCCAAGCTCTTCAGCCCATCATCCAGGGCTCTTTCCACCAGGCCACGTGGCCACTGCCAAAACAAGGGAAGAGCTGGGCACCACTGCTTCTCAGCTCTCAGAGGCTGAGAAACTGACTTCATTGGGTCTAACTGGACAGCGTTTTCTCTCTTCACCAGAGCAACTAAAATTCCTTAAGTCTGAAAAACATACCTAGTCCATCATTTTTGCCATCTTCATTGTAATTATATTGACAGAGAAAAGAAAACACCCACAGAATTGCAATTCTGGAACAAAACAAATGCAATCAGATTCAAGAGTCAAATATAAATAAAAAATATTAGAATAGATCACTGGATCCTGTAAAAAGATTGAATTCAACCTCTTTTATTTTTAATTCCTTAAAATAAATTCACATTATGTGCTCTTACTAGAGAAGATCATAATCTTTCTTGCTAAGCACAATTTGTGGAAAAATTCATTTCTCTGTGTTTTATGGCTAGAAAGCATCTTGTACTAAAGCAATATAAATACTAAGAATTTACATAAAATTGCCAGAATCAACAAATAGATTCTTTTAGTTCACAAAGAAGCTACACATTTTGATTTCTTTCAAATACAAGTTCTCTCACTGATACCTTTCTCTTTCCTCAAAAGCAATATATTTCCTAAACTTTTAGACCTTCCATTTAAATTCCAAAAAGAATAAACACTTCCTTGAAGTCATGCCCACCACAACCATGCACCTCCCTATATAAACATTAAAGAGTTAGAAAATCTGGCTTGTGGTGTTATCCCTTAATGAACAATAGGTCATCCTAAAAGTGGCAAGGAAAAAAAGAACAATCATGCTTCAAAAGAGATATTTTTATTTTATAATTTTCCCCACTTTTTAGTCACTTGGTACTTGATTTTTTTTAATGCGTACTTTTAAAAGAATGTTTACTCAAAAAATGAGAGTTGAATATGGAACTTAAGATTTCATTCAGGAAAACCAAATCAACTCCATTTTAGATGTTTTTTTTTTTTTTTCGCAATAATTTGGCCACCATAGCCATTTTACCCAGCTAATTCAGGAGAGCTTCTAAAGCTCACAAGTTACTAGCACCTGATATCAAGTAGGTTCTTTCAAAGTTTTAACGATGACTAGAAATACTATAGGGCGACTATGGATATCTATGAACGTTTGTTGTCGTTGCTAAACAAAAAATGCTTCCAATTTTCCAATACACAGCTACTACCAAGCTCTTTGTAGCTTCCCCATATCTTCACTGGCCAAAAGAAACTTGTAATGACTAATAATTTTCCATAAAATTTCAAGGAAGCCTTAGATTGGATCACATGAATACACCACCCCGAATCTTCCAGAATTCCCCAATATTTTCCTTTATAGCATATTCAGCACAGTCCTTGCACTCTTGGGGCGTAAATCCAACTAATGCTCCCCCTATGGTACCAATTCCCCGATCACCTGCTAACTTTTTAACTTGAGCTTCTATGTAATGAGGAGACACATAAGAAAAATGGTTGCCATGGACGCTGTAAGTCATATATTGAGAGTCTTGTGAGATTTCTGTAGCTTCTTGGTCTTCAAAACTCTCCACATTGCAAGCTATCTCAATTTTCCCTTCGTGGGGAAAAGCCATCGCTTGGACGCCCTTCAATCCATTTGCACTGGAGCCACGAATGACACTAGCGATCTCTCTTCCCGAAGACAGGTCTTGAGAATCTATGGTAACGTTGCAGTTCATCACGTATGGGCTAGCACCGACACCTAAATCATTAGAAGAGCATGTTAACCAAGCATAGAAAAAGCCTTATTTTGAAGATTCTATCTTTAGCCAATTTTAATCAGAGGAGTTTCCTTTACCTGGTTTTATCTTAAAATACTATAAATATTCCTCACTGTCAACTCCAGAATTTTCTAAAGGTCATTTTTTTTAAGTAATAGAGGTATTTGGGCTATAATCAGATAATTTTATCTACTCTAAAAGTATCTGAAGGATTTTTTTTTCCTAGAAGAGCTCAGAAGAGCCCAGACTTTCCAAAATACCAAGAGAGAAACGAAACAAGCACACTTGAGAAGAATTAAGTACCATCAGCAGCAATAAGCCTTGGATTTGCATTCATTTCTAAGGCCACCTCTACAAGGGTTGGAATTCAGTGCCAGGCCTAAGGGTCTTGGAGACAGAAGTAAATCACACCGCGACCCTTTCCCCCTCAAACAAATACCTGTCATTATTGAATTAAGTTAATATCAGATTAAAGTGAACCTCAAAACCAGTCTCGGAGCTCACTAAAAAGTAGCAAACAGCCTTAGAATTGGGAAGAGCAAAGGGACTCTCGTGTTTGATGATGATGTGAATTTGGCAGGATTTGGAACCAAACAAGACACGAGAGTTCCCTAAAGTGGACATACAAACCTCACGCCCTTCTTCTGTGCAACCTGTTGAAGGCACCTCTTTCTTCCATCCTCTGCTTCTCAAGAGACTGGGGCTGCCATCGCCATTCCAGAGCCCTGTTATTCTAGAGCTCAGGGGCAGATATCACGCTTTTTCCTGCCTCAGGGATGGTGCAGCTCGCGTTACATAAATAGCGCTGCTCTAATTATAGTTTACATTATAAGATGGACAACTTGGTTAAATTAGCATTGGTATAAAAAGCTTAGGCTTGCAATTTCCTCATTTTGGGGGAACCAGCCCTTTCTAAAAGCAAAGTTACTAGGGATAGATGGGCTAAAAGGCTGACCTCATCTTCAGCATATGATCATTCCTCAGCTACTATTTCAACATTATTTTACTGTCATTGCCTTTTCTTGCTACTTTCAAACTTATTGCTCATGATGTCAGTATCTATCAGCGATGTGCCTTTGGGTTCACTTTTCCCTGAACCATGGCGGTTTGGGGGCTTTGTTGCCTAGCCTGGCTACTCTCATACTAATAGACGTTTTACAGAAAATCAGCACACGTAAACCACATTTCATCTTTTCCCCACACATGTACATAATGAAATATTTCAACTCCCGAGGCTGGGCCTCTTCCTATTGGGAATTCTGCAGGAATGAATCAGATTACAGTATTTCCCCATAATGCTGATTTCATAAAAATTAAATTTCCTAACAGTCAATACATCTCTTTCTCATAATCTCATGCACCAATCACTTACTCTAAATATCTTTGAGAATTATATCAGTTTTAACATTTAACGGAGTACAGTTGGAATTATTTTTGTCAATACTCATGTTGCCATTCATTAACAGAGAACATCCAGACATAATTTCTCTCTCATCTACCCCTCCACAGGTAATGTTACAAACAGTCCCATTTCCTAAAATCTGATATACATACCCTACTCTGGCTCCAGATGAGGCAACATTGTTACCATCATTCCAACAAATAGTTGGATCACACTCAGGTTTTGCTGAAGAGCATATACACTATACTCTTCGCCGTCAGCACAACTATTCAAAATCCATAAGGGCCTATAGTGCTTCACTATTGTGCTTTGCTATTCCATACTTGATATGCCCAATCAACATTCAGATATTCACAGGTAATTTATCAGCCTGGGGGAGCAAGTCACTTTCAAAGAAGTCCCTTCATATGGACCCAGGGCTCTTCCTGCACACTACCATGGCAGCAGTCATTCACACGGGACTTTTCCTGAATCCCCTACCCAGAAAATTCCAAGGCATCTCTTAACCACCATGTAGCCAATAATGGTCCCCTTTTTAGAATTTCTAAAGTTGATCATTCTTGCTATAAATAAGCTCATTCCCCAAAACAAATTATTAAAGATAGAACAAGTTTAGATGTTAAGCTCTAAGCACAGAGTTCCATAAAGAATACAACATGTATACTGTACAGCATCCCAACACTGATTTACTCGATTAAAATGAAACTTTGTCTTTAAAAATTACTTAAAAAGCATACTTTAAAGTTATTTTTTCCTAGAGAAAATAAAGTTAAACATCAGAAGGAACTTTTATATGCTCTGTTAAATAAAATAAGAGGTGGCTGACCACAGTGGCTCACATTTGTAATCCCAGCACTTTGGGAGGACAAATCTCAGCGCTTTGGGAGGCCAAGGCAGGAGGATCATTTGAGCCCAGGAGTTCGAGACCAGCCTGAGCAACAGAGCAAGACCCCCATCTATACCAAAAAAAAAAGTAAGCTGGGCATTGTGGAATACACCTGTAGTCCCAGCTACTCAGGAGGCTGAGGCAGGAGGATCCCTTGAGCCCAGGAGTTTGAGCTTGCAGTGAGCTATGATGATGCCACTGCACTTTAGCCCTGGCAACAGATCAAGACTGTCTCAAAAAAGAACGGAAAGAAAAGAAAGAAGGGAAGAAGGAAGAAAGAAAGAAATGAAGGAAGGAAGGAAGAGAAGAATCACTTAACACAGAATAATTATTTTTAATATACGCCCTTGTTACGTATATTTTAAATTTTTCTATTAAACTTTAGTTACATAAATAATTTTATTTTGTTCTATTGCTACATCTTACTCAAGCAGTGATTAAATGGAGATGGTTAATGAATCTGAAAGGTTTCTGACCTAATCCGGGTAGCAGTTTCCTCTCTGAGTGGTTATGAGGCCATGACCCATTTCTCCATTGGGGGAAAAAAAAAGAAAGAAAGAAAAGAAAATTTCTCTTTCTGCCCAAATTTATGCTTTTCCAATTTCCTCCATTTAACCGTTCCAAGTCAAAGCCAATATGGTGATCCAATTATACTGAATCAAATTCTGTGTTTAAATCCAGCAGTCCCATTGACCTTATTTAAATGCTGAATTTAATTTTTTATGTTAATTTAAACTACTAAGAAGGTATTTTAAATGAGAGATAATTAATCCCAGCAAATCGTATTTCTAGTTAAATGTCATAAATTAAAGTAATTCCATTTTTTGCTCTAAAATTAGAAACCTGATGTGAAAGTTTGCTTCTCAGTTTGCGGTTTCGCTCCGCTCCTGCCTCCCGCAGACTGGCACTCGGCTGCTCTGGTGGCGGCACCGACCCCCTCACTGCAAGGCTGAAATTCCGATTTTATTCCAACACAACTGTCACAACGCCCTGAAGCAAGCTAAAAACAAGGAAAAAAATCTTTGGTATGATTTCACTTCCCATGTGTTCTTTAATGAAAAATTTATCATTCTAAATATTGGTGTTTACTCCTAGTTAAAGACTTTTTTTAATCAAAAAGAAAAAGAAACTGAGATTCAGTTGCTATTATTTCACAGGAAATATAACAGGCCTGATGTTTTCCTCACAATTCTGTTATTTTCTTGTGTGGAAACACTGTATTTATCATATACTGCACGGCTGGTGATTCAGATATTGTTGAGACCTTATGGTGAACCGATATAGATGTAAACTCTTTATGCCAGATTGTTTAAGCAGAAAAAAACCAAATGCACTTAATTAACATCTGATGTGTAGCTTTTGCAAACACAAATGCAATATTTGTGTTTGAGCACTGGCAGTAATGACTGTGAACTATGCTATTAATGTCTGGTTTAAAGATGCTTGTGGTAGGACCACGTCTGGAATAACACAAATAAAAAACTGCATTCAGACAAAACAATAGTGAAGAGCCCATTAGGAAAACGAAAAAGCAGAACTCAGAAGAAACACATGTATTCTTTCCCTTTAGATCAAAATTATTCTCAAAAATAGTTCCAGGAACCATCATATTCCATCAATCAAAGGTGAAAAAGTTCTATATATTTTACTTTCACTTTAGGAGATCAGAAGTTGCTTTGGGATGTCTTCAGAAATTCTATTTATTATATGAGGTCTGTCCGGAAAGTATCCAGCCATGCAACTGTTCTTGTTATAGTAATAATTTGGCAGGATACTTTCCGGACGGACCTGGTATTAAGCTCCTCTTTGGTGGCTAGTATCAAAACATGCATGAGGGGAGAGCCAAGGTGGTGTTTTTGGATATTTAGCATATTTATATCTAAAGAGAGAACTTCAAATTTGTGGACTGCATTACAGTTTGAATAAATAGATTCTCCACAACCAATTCAACTCCCTCTTTAAATAGTTTTTTACTGAAAACCTGAGTGCCAGGAACCATGCAGGTTGCTGGGTATAAAAACATGAAGAAGGTTAAAATAAGGTGAAACCCTGGTCTGCGGGCTGTCCTCTCGCCTTCCTCCTGGGACAGCATGAGCTTCGCCACTTGCTCCACCAACTAGCAGTCCCTGGGCTCCGTCCAGGCACCCAGTCAGCAGCACGTGGGCTGTGCAGGCACTGTGGGCTCGGGCTCCTGGATCTCCGTGTCCCACTCCACCAGCTCCCAGGGCGGCTGCGGGTCCAGGGGCCTGGCTTGGGGTTGGCCGGGGGTCTGGTGGGAATGGGGGGGCCATCCAGACCAAGAAGGAGACCATGCAAGACCTGAACGAGCACTTGGCCTCCTACCAGGACAGAGTAAGGAACCTGGAGACTGAGAGTTGGAGAATGGAGAGCAAAATCGAGGAACATCTATCTAGAGAAGTAACTCCAGGTCAAAGACCAGGGTGGCTGGGGAGATTACTTCAAGACCATCAAGGACCTAAGGGCTCAGATCTCTGCAAATTCTGTGGACAATGCCCGTATTGTTCTGCAGACTGACAATGCCCATCTTGCTGCTGATGACTTTAGAGTCAAATACGAGACAGAGCTGGCCCTACACCAGTCTGTGAAGAGCGACATCTATGGGCTCCACAAGGTTACTGATGATAACAATGCCACTCGGCTGCAGCTGGAGACAGAGATCAGCGCTCTCAAGA